GGTCAATCCCACTATTCGTTGGTAAAAGAGTAGCCCAAGAGTTGGCGGTGGGTGGTGATGACTAGCTGCCTTCCCTCTAGTCTTACACTGCTAAATTAGGGACGGCTAGCGCAGATAGCCCTCGTGTAGCTTTGCGCGAAATTCCAAAACAAACAAACAAATATAGTTGAAACAACACACAACCACACTGTATTTCATTTTATCAACAGAAGCAGTGTCTGTATATACACCTACGGCTTTTAGAATTCACTTAGTAATGTTTCTTGCTTTTCGTATTTTTGCAGTTGGTGAGTATATATTGAGTGACAATATATAAATCATATCACTTGATATTATTAAAAACATACAAAATTCTTTTTATGTATGGGAGCTAAAGACAAAGCAATGAAAATTACTAAAAGGAACATAATTTTAACTCTTAATTAAGCTTTGGCAATTGTGACCTTGATAGGAAATTATATATGGAAAAACTAAAATTAAAATGACAATTAAAAATTTATATATTCATTCTAATTTTGTTTTTATTTTGCTGCCATATAAAATTTTCATGTTGCAGAGTGATACAAGTAGAACCCATTTTAGAGAGGGTTTAATACTGTTTTTAAGAGTGTAAGATTATGATTATTCACTCACGAGATTCTACACACATTTTAAACACAATGGTCTTTGGTCTGGACTTGTCTCAAGATAACTACTTATTCATCATCATAGTACTATAAACTGGAAAACCCCAAATAAAGAATGGATTTAACTAAATCCACACGTATAGTCTGACTACATGCATCTTTATAAAAATTTCCCTAACTTACTTGGAATATTTGTTTCCCACGGGACAGCCCAAGTAAAAAAAAACCAAATCAAAGACATGTGTGAACATCTATGAAAGCTTCTACTTAAATCCAAGTTTTAAATTTTGATTTGAAATTAACTCAAAATGATTAAATTTAATGACACAAAGTCTCTAAACATTTACTGAAAGAATTAACAAGACACAAAAAACTTACGTGATTAGAATGATTTTTCCAGGCATCAAACTCTCCATCTTTCACAAAATTCCTTGCTTCATTTGAACCTAAAAATATGAAAAATTGTACAGAGATAAAGTTCTAAAGCAATAAATAGAGCACCACTTTGTCCAATATAAGGTAGCATCACTAGGATGATACATTGTGCTGTTTACTGTTTAACTTTCATATTTCTATCCCAGATTAGCTATCTTAATTTTTTTTTACTTTATCTTGCATATCCAGAATTAAGTAAAAAATATAAGAGTAAGTCGCATCACTGCATCTTATAACTTCAATAAATTCAGTGAGAAGTAGTATGATAAAATCATCTTGTATCTTAACCAAAAATACATCACCACTTGGTAATTATGTTATCATCTTTTAAAACATGATCATGTATTTATTATTGCAAAAAATAAAATAAAAATGTATTCCTCAGCATGACAAACATTTTAGTTCAGACTGATCCTTTTTTTTTGCCTTGTACTTGCAGCAAAACTCAACACATGTACTTCAAGACAAAAAACAAGTGTTTATTTTACCTTCACAATGCATAAACTGATTAGTGTAGTAACATTAACACTTCCCACCGAAGGGGTATCATTGACACCTGCTAATTTGTTCTTTCTCAAAGTGGACATACTTAACTAAATTCCATGAAACTTAGATAAAAAAAATAATATCTAGTTTTAGCTTTCAAAATTTGATTTGATTTCATTTTTACATAATTCTTATGTTATAAAACTTCTAAAATTTTGTTGTTATATAGTTCAGAAAAAAAGCATTAAAAATAATTTCTTTCATCTTTTATTTTTGATTGTTGATCTAAAAGTTTCATTTTAATCTATCAAGTCAATTTCAACATGACTGATTTTCATTAACATTTTATTTTCATTTTTACTTTACCAATTGCATTGTCACCACTTCTAGCTATAAATCATAAAAAAACACTAAAAAGCTGATAAAGATATATTGGTGGCATAAAGCATAACTTATCAAAATGACATCATGTAAAGGTAGGTAACAATGTTTTGGCTAACAATAATCTTGGCCAAAATCAATTTATATCTAATAAACACAATCTCTTTAAATAATTAGTTATTTTATTTATATGTTTTATTTGAATATGATAAACTGAACAAAAACAGTCATTAAATAAAGATTTGAGACAACTTTGATTCATTGAAATGTTCTGTTACTACTTGAAAAATTTTAAACTTAATTAGGCTGGCTTTAAGAGTGTTTTTTTTTTTTTGAAGTTTAGTTTAGTGGTTGGGAAAGCCTCAATGGACAACAAGCCCCTTGTTTTTTTATATGTTATCTTTTACTTGATGTCTCCTCATAGAAGAAAATTCCTGAAGTTCTAAAACAAATATAATTTAACTCACAAACATTTTCAGGAACAAAAAGAATGTATAAAGAAACTACAAGATAAATTCTCAGATCTGTAGTTTGTTCCTAAATCTTCTAAACTTCCCACTATATTTAGTTGTTGTTCTCTGCAAACTAGATCTTGTCACAAAACGATAAATTACTTCTCACACCATTTTATTCAATGTACATTGATGTAAATGCTTTATAATCTGTTCTACCCAACGGTAACTAAACTTTGCTTGTAGCTATATTCAAAGCTGAGCTTCATTAGTGGTTTGTCATATCATATGCTGTGAGATCATAAAAAGGTTGGATCATAAGTTGTACTACTAAAATTCTGAAAAAGAAAAGTAATATTCACAAAAAAAACCTCTTAAGAATTATATTCTCAAGACACAATAGTTTCTTAGCAAATATAACCTTGTTCTTTCATATGAACAAAACAATTCTAAAAACATTGATAAGTACATTGCTTACAGGCAAGGCTCTTCTGAGCTGTGCAGAAACACAAGTTTTAAACATTTTTTTACTTTTCTTTGTAAATAATACATAAATGTTACAAAATTACAAAAGATCAATACAAATAATCTTTGAGCTAAATATCGTTGTAACATAGTTAGGATTATTATTTTTACTTAATTTTAATATGCAAGTGTGCATTTGACACCTGATAGGTGCGCAACGATCCAGATAGGATTAAGATCAGTGCACACATGCCTGTTCATACAATTGTCAAATGAACTAGCATGATATAAAGATGGCACTGCTATCTTCTGTAATTCAGTTAGATTCTTTTCCCTTGTATTGCCACAGACGTAAATAAAAGATTAGACAGTTCTTTTGACTCATAAACATCCAGATTAAAATTAATACAAACTAACTGTTCTGAAATAATAAAATCTCAGTAATGGAAAAAATATATATACAAAGGATAAGCTCAACAACAACAACGTTTTCCCAAATAAATAGAAAATCTCCTTTGAAGTAAGATTGAAACTTCAAATTGAAAGCAATAAACTTTATTTAAAAAATTTTTTATTCCATGCAAATTGTAAGGATGATTACTTTCAAAATAGAAAATTAATATCATTAAATATTTGGTTGTTTAATTTCTAAGGTAAATAAATGCATGCTTTAGTTTTTCTGATCTTAAATTTAGCAAAACATTTATAATTATACCAAATAATTTAAGTAAAAGTGAAAAAAATACATATTTCAATAAGAAACACCAGAAGTTAACATTTAACTAAATTGAAAATGTATTTTCAAAAATACTTACCTCTGCTGACACTTAGAGCTATTACTCAACCACCAGGGTTTCTTCTTTACTCATCTAAGCATTGGTCTGATTTTTTCTCATTTGATCCAGTCTTTTATACCCCACTCAATTGCCCTTAGCAATATTTGTCTCTTGGTAATCACACCTACGTTAATACACCCTCTATCCTGGTACTGTATATAAGCAATTCATTCAGATAATTTCATCACTTTTTCGAGACTGACACCATTCCAGTCTTTAACACCGGCTTGTAGTGGGGAGTGTCAGCGGAGGTAAGTATTATTGGAAATACATTTTCAATTTAGAAAAAATGTTAACTTCCAAATCATACCTCCACTGAAACTTATAGCTAGAATCCCACATTGAAAAGGTGGAGGGGCTGGTGAGAGCATTATCCATACAGAAAGCATCTGCGTAGATCATCGGTGTTCCAAGATAAGATTGGTACCCGAGTGGGGGAACCACACTACATCCGGAACAAGTATGCTCTTTACCCTGAACTTAATTCCTGTATCAAGGGTGGAATTGTACTTGAGTGATCATCTCTATAGGCCAGCCCCAACCAAATAGCCAAAGTTCCACTATTCGGGGGTTGGAATTAAGAGGTCTTAGTCCCAATATCCCACACTGGTGGTTAGGGCAATTGGACTGCAACATTGCATTTGTATATATATACTATTGACTGAATCCCAACCTGTAGCCATAGAGTGATGCATTCCGAACCACCGGAATCATGACAAGAAAGTAAGCAACACCGAAGCAGACAAAGCTTCTCCTCAACCTGAAGAAGCTGACACTCTCCCACCCTTCCCACCCACTAAGAGCCAGTGTTAGAGACTGGGATGGTGTCAGTCTCAAAAACATGATAAAATCATCTGAATGAGGTGCTTATATACAGTACCAGGATAAAGGGTGCACTAACATAAGTGGAGAGTATCACGAGACAAATATCGTCAAGGGCAATTGAGTGGAGTATAAAAGACTGGAGCAAGTGAGAAAATATCAGATGGGCAAAAAAGATACTTTGGTGGTCAAGTAAAAGCTATAAGTGTCAGCAGAGGTAAGTATGTTTAGGAATTATGTACTTAAGTTTTATCTTTATTGTTATTAAATGCAGAAAAAAGTATTATGTTTGTTACCTACCTATGTCTCCCTGACCTTTCATTTGCTGAATTCATCAGAACATGGAAAACAAAAAAAATAGTCATCTTAGCTCAGAGGTCAACACTTACATTTATCACATTCAGTTTAACCTGAATTACTTTTCAAGTTTAGTTTTTACTGTTTTCATGCAAAACTAAAAACAAGAAAAGATTAATGTACTTACTATTTTAAAGCATTAGCTTTCTCCTCTTAGTTGCAATAAACAATTCATTAAACTGAATAAATAATTACAGCTTCAAACTTAAAAGTTCTGGAAACTGGCACTTGTTGGAAATCACAGTTTTATAGATTAAGATACTCCGGATAAGCCATCAGTAAGCATCTTACTCATTAGCTCAAATTATATACTACTACTTTTGTAATAGTTTGAGTTTTTCTAACTTTTGTTCCACTTTCAACAGACACAAATGAATATATTAATATGTACATGTATACACACAATTTCTTTGTATAAACAATGATTCATTTATGTGATAACTATATCAGTGAGAAAATTAAACTTGGATGTTTTTTTATAAGAGAATTTTTTTAATTATTACAATGATAAAGAATTGTTCATTCAACTAACAATAATACTTGAAACAGAACAGTTAGACAGGAATATGTCATAAGCTGTAACTTAAAAATAATATTCAAAATAGTTTTCTATTTTTATTCTTAATAAGCTTATTGTTTTTTTTGGATGAAGACATCTCAGGCATGATTCTGATTAAAGCGTTGTTACTTTTCTAATAAGACGTTCTGCCTTGAATACTTTCCTTTGTGTGTACCCTAAAATTCATCACTTTACATTCATCTCAAATTTGTAGCTCATTCTGCAAAAATAACCTGCTAAGAAAATCTTCTAAGTTCATCTTCATTACGGAAGCATTTTCTGTTTATTATCATCATCAAATTTAGAAGGCTTACCACTTATACAGTAGTTTATATCACTGACAGAGTTAATAGTCACACTTTCCCAATCAGCTTGTGATTGTTTATCACAACTGCATTTTCTAACCTCAAACTAATTCATAAAAATCTACTTTACTAATCAACTTACTGTTGAGGTCCTTACACAAAGCCTGCTGACAGTCAAGATGCACAGCATCAACAGTGAGTACCTTCATCCAAGTAAGCTAAAGCCCCATAATAAAATTTCAACAAATCAGTAAAAGAAGAAATCCGTTTTCTTAACAACAGAAGCAAGCTACCTATCCTGTAATTCCCAGAGTCTTCCCCAAACCTCTTCTTTTTAAAACAAGTATTACACTGGCTACCTTTCAATCATCAGAAATTTCTCTTGTCAATCAATGTCTCAAAAATTTCTGTTAAAAACCCCTCAGCCCCACTATCTCATTACTTTGCCTCTTTAAGATATTTGGATAAATCTTATCAGGGCCAGGACTTCAGGAGCTTCATTGTATATAACCTAAGAATAGGTTTTATTCCCACTTTATTAAAAACACTAGCAAACAAATATGCTTAATACTTGAGCCTTTACACCTCCTCAACAATAATGTTTCCATATAAATCTATTCAACTTTTTATATTTTATTTTAATCTATTTTCACTCTTAAAATAAGCATAAAATCCATTTCAATCCAAACTTAATCTAGCAGGAGTCTTTGAAAGCCCCTCTCAACCTCAATTATATGGTCTATTTAAATATTTTATTTTTGGTGTTCTACCCACCTTCCATTTTCATATTCTTCAAAAGTCTGGCCAGTCCTAGTGAATGTGCATGAATGTGAAAAATAAAGTTAAATATTAAGTAATTAAAGTTATACAACTGCAAGCATGTCAACTTGGAAAAGACTAACTTCTTGTGTGAAAGGAGCTTTAGTATTATGAAACATCACAAGAGAGAGAGAATGATTTAGGTTTATTATTGATAAAATCTTGAAACCTCTGAGTGGCTTAGAGTTTAGTTGTGTGAAGAAAGCTAATATTGTTACAGAATCTATTTACATATTGTTACGACAGCGGAAGTTACGTGATGCTAGTAACACGTCATGATATTCTAGAAGGATCATGTCTGTTCGTGGCAACTCTGGTTTCTTCTACGTGCCCTCTATTCTTGTATATAAGTGCGCCAGATAAAGCGAAATTAATTAATCGGAATTGAATTGCAGACAGGCAGAGATACAGACGGACAAATGAGTCTAGCACGGTAGTAAGTAGAGTGTGTGAATCGTACGTTGTGAATTATAGCGTGTGTTTAAGTTAAAATCACTGTGGAAATTAAGTGTATTGCAAAGTTGTATTGAGAAAGAATAAACTAGCTTTATTTAAGAAAGGACTTGTATCGCTGAAGTTTCTCAGGAAGAATTTCTACGGGAAATTAACAAATGAACAGTGACGTAACAAATTGGTGTCAGAAGTGGGATGGAAAATTTAAAGAAGATACGAGAGGTGGCAAATCAAACTACAGCTTAGCAGATTTGATGGCAGCAATACAAGAACAGCAAAAGAAACAAGAAGAGAGACAACAGCAGTTGCAAAAAAACCTGCAACAGTGGCAGCTCAAACAGCAAAATAAACAAGAAGTGAGATTACAGCAGTTATTGGAGGAAAAAGAAAAGAAACAAGAAGCGAGATTACAGCAGTTGTTGGAAGAAAAAGAAAAGAAGCAAGATTACAGCAGCTGTTGGAGGAAAAAGAAAAGAAACAAGAAGAGAGATTACAGCAGTGGTTGGAGGAGAAAGAAAATGAAACAAGAAGAGAGACTACAGCAGTGGCTGGAGGAGAAAAAAATAAACAAGAAGAAAGTACTCCAACAGTTGAGAGAAAGTCAGAGTACACAAAT